ATTGGTTAGACACCCGAGGACAGGAAAAGGGACGGAGAGGTGAGCATCCAAAGGACATGTTGATACAGCACTTGAAATATTATATTACTGTGTGGTCCGTTTGCTGTTAAAAATGCTTATATTGATGAACTGCAGCAGCTGTGTTACTTTCAGTAGTTCATGTTTATCGTCTTCATATTTTTATAATATCACAATTTTAACTTCCTTTGTAAAACCAGTTAATTTGCAGCGTTAGACCACGTATGTGACTGGTCTAATCTGCCAGAGCTGCCCCTTTCATAGGACCATCCTCATGACTGGTTTGGAAAACGTGGCTCAAGCTATCGAGCTGATAAACTCTTGGACCACAGATCCTGATCGCCAGTGTCAGGAAAGTGAAGCCAGAGGAAAGTTATCCTGTTCAACCTGCTTTGTGGTGCAGGGACCAGAGGAACCAGGCCAGCATGCTGTTGTTGTTCATTGACTTGCAGCTTCTGACCTGACTCAAGTCAAGTTTGAAAATGATTTCAAATGTAAATAATCCCAGCAGCAGACATCTGTCTCCTTCTGGGCTATCTGCAGTATATTTAGTCCTGTTCTGTGCACTTGCACACACCTTCTCTCGGCCAACATATTTACAAGCTCTAATGAACGGGTGAAACTGGAAATATGGTAGGCTATGGGAGAGCAGACCTATGTGGTAAGAGGTTGTAGGGACAGTAGAGAGTACAAACAAAGCTCCATTCAGCTGACTTTCATTATTTTGCGGGTTATAGCATTTTGTTCAATTCAAAGGCTTTCAGAGACAGCACACTGATACTGCCAAGTCAGTACATTAATTTAAACTCAATAGCTTACAGTGGGAATTATGAAATATGAATCAAATAATATCTCCCAACCCCACTACTGTAACCTCTCACTATACTTCTGTTACTTAACACAAGAGCCTAGCCGCACTGTAAATGCATTCAGACAGACTTACAGCAACCATCACCCCAGGCTCAAGTTTGTTTCTTATAATGGAGGTAGCTAACCTACGGCAGTCAAACCATCATGTGATTATGCTGTGATTAATTCTCTCATTAGCAGCAATAACGCGGGGCACTCCTCTAAAATCCCCGTGGAAAGGGCTACAGATGGCACGATACCACTTCTTTTTATGTCCAATGCCCATATCATAAATTTGCGTATCTGCCGATATGCAAATATGGTGCATTTTATAATCAATAAAACTGTTTTTTATAAATATCTTGCTGCATTTTGTATAAGTTCATAGACAAGTTTAAATAAACAAACAAACACTAAAGCTATTCTGTTATACCTGTGTGCAAAAACACACTGCACCCAAAATATTTCATAGTTCAGCAAAACTGATCAATCTAATAAACTTAACCCTGCACCATCCTCCCTATTCTGGTATTTTAAAGAGTACTTAGCAGAAAAATTAAACAACTTAAATAATAGGGTTGCAAACTCCTAGCAAAAAAAAAAAAAGTCTCTCCGATATCCGATCCAGTAATTTAGGTCACTATCGGACCGATACCGAGACGTAATATCGGATCAGTCCATCCCTAGAAAGGACCCCGCTTTGTGTCTCACACTGATTTTGCACTTGATGTAATCCTACCACCTACACTCACTCAGCACCTGTAACAAACCACACACGTAGCGTGCAGTACAACATGCTGCAAATAGCCGAGTACCGGCCTGCAGCCCTCTGGCTTCTCCCACAGCCTGACACGGACACTCCCGTACCGCTACAGCGGGAACTAACATGGATGGATTTATTTCTGAGGCGCTTCCAGCCCTGACGACTGAGCAGTCTGCGCATCATTAAACAAACGCAGATGACCGAACAATACACACTGAGCATGTTCCCTTTAACAAAGCAGGCATTAATAAAAGAAAACACGCACCCCATCCAGGATCCCCGGCCTGCCGCATGGACACATCCAGGATCTGAAAGAACGGCGCACAGCTTCACCGACTAACAGCCGCTCATGTCAGCTGTCCCCCCGCTCCCCTGGGCTGTTGTCCCCGTAGAGCTGGTGCTTGGAGTCGGCCCCTGCACGGCTCCTCAGCGCAGTGAGGAAGCACCGACTGCGGTCATGTGAGCCGCAGTTACCAGACAGGCTAGAGCCGCTGAAATGAGAGTCGCGTCAGCAGACGCTCAGAGCGCAGCGTCGTCACGTGGTTCAGCGTGAGTTTCCGTCCCTTTTCACGTGGGTCACATGTTGATTTGTTTTAACAGGTCCTGTCTCCCACGTACAATCATACAATTTTATAGTTTTAACCGTATTTAATAAAGGAAAGCTTTTAATTGTTTTTAGGTGCTACTGTTACATGTTTATTTTATTTTGTATTAACATTAAACCCATTTTAACTGATTGTATGCCTGCGGCTCTGAAATAGGCACCTACCACCCGATATGGAAAAGATCTATAAGTCTTATAAAGTTTGTATCTGTCTTGTGTGAAACTTGTATGAAAAGCATACAAGAGTGAAAACAGATATAAGATCCATTAAAAATTATATAAATGAAACTTGTATGTTTTGGATACTTACTAAAACAATATATGAAAGTAATGAGAAAGTGGCCACTTTCATGAGTAAATCATATAAGCCAGGGGTGTCAAACTCAAATACACAATGGGCCAAAATTCAAAACTGGAACAAGGTCGCGGGCTAACGTTAATATTTATTGAAAAAAAAAAATCTTCCTCCAGATTTAAGAATGAATCTTTTCTTATGGACTCAAACAAGTTTTGCTGAACTGAATATGGAACAAGCAAAGCTTAATAAACAATATATATATTAGCTGTATAACACCAGTAGGCCAGCTCTGATAGTAATTTGGTATGGCTTCGTGGGCCAAATCTAATTAGGCTGCGGGCCAGAGTTTGACACCTATGATATAAGCCTTATATGATTTACTTATGAAGTCGGCCACATCTGATGCAAGTCTTTTATAAGTTTTTACTATTTCTTTTCCATATGGGACAGGTCACACTGTGGTTATTAAGATAAATGTGATGAGCATTTTGGCCTGTGTGCTGCGATGCTGCATATATTTTGTCACACTATGGTGGGCAGTGCTCTCTGTCATACTGCTGTATGTTGGTGGTGCAGCGTGACAGACAAAAACACCGAGCAGCTGGACAAGCTGGTGAAAAAAGCCAGCTCAGTGCTTGGCAGGAGGCTTGCTGGTCTTACATAGGACTGTGGTGGAGACCCCTGAAGCCCCAAATAAAGTCTCTTACACATTTAACTTAGCTAAAAAAAAAATGTTTTTTTTCTGTTCATCCTGTATTTATTGTATTTTTATTCCCAATTTCAACTTTTTTTTGTTTATTATCGTGTTTGCAGTCACATGGTTTCAATATATTGTCTTCAAGGAGATAAGCAGAAACATTTTTAAGTAAAATTATATTTATTTAGCAGCTTTCAAGACAGAGATCACAAGTGTTTCACAAAAAATACCAGAGCATTTAAAACAAAGCAAACAGAAGAAAGTTAACCAAATGCAACTCCAAAAAGATGAGAGATGAGATGAGATGAGATGAGATGAGATGGCCTTTATTTGTCAGTTGCAGGTCTTTTGCCCACAACCGAGATGACAGACCGACCGTACATACGTGTTTCCTTGCATGCCTGGTGTTTTGTTTGGTGTTTGGATTCTGTAGGTGGGTGGAGCTAGAAGCCTCCTCGTCAGCGTGCCCCTGTGTGATTCCAAGTTTCCAAGTGCACGGATGCACAACACTGTGAGTCCTTAGACTGAGCAAACTAAATCATACATCGCCTGGTTACAGAAGATGAGTAAACACATGACAGAAATAATTAAACAACAAGTTTGGGTAAAATGAAAATGTAAAAACATTTAAAGTGTCGCACACATCAAATGTTGAAAGTGAATTTTTGTTCTGGAAAAATATTCGATCATTTTGAGTTTGATGAATAATGCACCAGATGTTTTCAGTGGATGACAGGTGTTGACTGCAGATGGGCCAGTTTAGCTTTATGACTGTTTTAAAAACAAAGGCATGCTGTTGTGCAGTCGTTTGACACTGAACTACTGAAATATGCATCAGTTTATACATGTACATTATACCCCATCTCCAGTTGTTTGCCATCCTGTTTCAAAGTAAAAAGTGCATCAAATATTTGACATTTGATACGTTTGTATTGTTTGTTTGTTTTTTAAATTTAATGTGGCTTAGAGGATTAAATGATCTGGGTTGGTCCACCAGGACAAGAAATCATGGCTGTTCCTCCATGAAAGACAAAGATCACAATAAGGAAAAAGATGATGATGCTGAGAAACACTGGCGACTGGATGCAGGTGGTGAACAGGAAACACAGAAACTGAGCTGACGGAAATGATGGAAATGGCACACGTGCTAATAATCTGCAGACATGAGCAGACCACACACTAACAAATCTGCTCAGGAGACGGTGAAGGCTCCAAACTCTCAATGATGACTTATCTAGCATCAACAGCACCACTATTACTGCAAGAAGTTTCGGTATTAAATATTTATGGCACTGTTCCAATTTGCCCCAATGGTAATAAAGTTAGTTGTAGGTAGGACAGGTATCGAGCTGAGCAGGACCTAATCTGCAAAGACGAGTTATCTGCTGCCTTAAACTTTAATTCTGTACTAGCGGAGTTTGAAGCTCTACTGGAGGAGCAATGGCAGCCAAACATGAGTTTACTGGTAGCAGACTCCACGGTGCTGCTTCAAGTTCAGGTAGTTCAGGTGAAATGCATCAAGACAGCTGCAGTCATTTTTTGTACTGTATTGCACTTGGATTACATGACTGTAACATCTGATTCAGGCTTTTTGGCGGGTTTTTCTTTTTGCAGCGCAAGGTTTCAGTCGAAGGCTCACATGAAGCCCACGATATTTAAATGTAGAAGCTGAACCAGAGCTAGAGCTGAAGCAGTCATTCCACAATCCTTTGTTCTGGATGTAATTGTTGAATTCAACGACTACTTGTTGTGTTTAGTTAAATAATATAATTCACACATGAAGAAAAAGCTTCACTTCTTCATACTGAT